GGCCTATTTCCTGATACTATTATATTAAAGGTAACATTTATTTTTATCAGACATTACCATCGGGGCGCACGTGGCCTTCGTTTGAGTCAGGCCCCGTCATCTTTAGATTTCACACGTCCAGAGTGTATAAAGTGTGCTTTCGTATTTGTATAGGAGAGCACCCAGTCTTCCACCAAGGACAGCCTCGATTTGTTGGGGTGTCTGGTGCCTGGGGTGTTCAGAGTCCGATCCCTGTCTTCTGAACTTGCATGTGGTGGTGAGCCATGCAGAGAGGGCTCTAGGAGCGTGTGGGCCGTGGGTGTCGTCACCCAGGGGTGCCCGCGTGCAGGGAGGAGCCCTAGAAGCGAGGCTCGAGGATGAAGGGGTTTCCTGCAGGGCCGAGACGTGAGGGAACCGCAACAGCAGAATGGCGTTTCTTGTGTGGGATCATCTGGTGCAACAGGGTTGCGGGGGGTGGGGGGTAGGGCCCTGGGGCACAGCCCTGAGATCACAGTGGGAGATTCCAGCAGGTGGACTTCTTCCATTACTTGATAAAAGATTCAGTGAGTTTATAGAGCGTGGAACAGAGCTGGGCAGACAGTAGGTACGATTTTGTGTTAAGTACTATTAGTGTTTTGTAATAACTTCACGAAACCCGGCGTGTCCAATCCGATTGGATGGCGGAACCATTTTCCAGGTGACAGCAAACATGTGCCGACAACCTGGAGACATCGTTCTGACCTGGGCTCCCAGCTCATTTGGTTCTAGGCTTTGCTGGAGCAGCTCTGCCCGTCAGCGTCCCCGGTCTGTGGATGACGACGCACATGTACTCGCCAAGGGGGTCCTGGCTCCAGTCAGGAGTCTTTCCCCCCACCCTTCAGGCTCAGCAATGCCAGTGTGACTCAGCTGGCTGGTCCTGGCCCAGGCGCCCCTGACGCTGCAGCGAGGAGGTCACCCGGGGCTGCTGTTATCTGAGAGTTTGACCGGGGCTGGAAGGCTTCCACAGAGCCTTCCACATGAGGCTGGCAGCTGGTGCCAGCTGTCGGTAGGGGGGTCTCTGTCCTGCTCTGTGCTGACCTCTCCAGGGACAGGTAAAAAAAAAAAAAAAAAACTTCATTGACGGGGTGCCTGGGAGGCTGTTGATTGAACATCCGACTTTGGCTCAGGTCATGATCTGTTTGTGAGATCGATCGGGCTTCACCCGGACAATGCAGAGCCTGCTCAGGATTCCCTTTCCCTCTCTCTCTCCCCCTCTCCCACTTGCTCTGTGTCTTAAAATAAATTAAAAAAAAAAACACAAAAAACTCGTGCAAGTTGGATTGTATTCTACCAAGAGGTAGAATTATATAGTTAAGCATTTAACTTACAATCAGTAAGAATGTTTGCTTTGTCCCTTTGACTTGGTGCTCCATTTGGGCGGTTTGCTTTGTTCTATAAATTTGGGCAACCACGAAGGAGCGTTATGACGATCTATGGAAGCATCCCCTAGATACTTCTTTCTGAATCTAAGACCTGTGTGAAAGTGTTTCTCACCTCCTAGTATTTCACAGTGAAAATGAGAAGTCGCAAAGAGAGCTCAGCGAGTCTAAAATCTGTTGTGTTAAAGTTTCTCCACCTGGGTTGTTGATGCTTGGGGAGGGTCCATCTTTGGGCAGGGGGGCTGTCCTGTGAGTTGTAGGATGTGCGGCGGCGGCCCTGCCCCTCCCCAGTGGTCATTATTGGACCCCTCCTCTGCTTGTGCCAGCCAAGAGCGTCTCCAGACACTGCTCATCGACCTTGGACTGGAAGGCGCTGTCACCCCGGCCAAACCACCGTGTCACAGTGCGGACACGCTGTCATAATTGTGGGCTTTCATTCGGTATCATGAGCTTGGATTCGTAGAAATCCGGGTGTGAACTCTGAGAAGGCCCCCGGGCGGACAGCTGTTGTCATGTGGCATCTATGGGTCTGCCCTGAAACGTGAGCAAGCCTGAACTCAGAACTTCCAGGGCTGAACCTGGGGCAGCGGGGGACGGGCGGCGGCAAGATGAAACAAAGCCCGTTCCTCTGATCGCCCGACACTTTGCTAAGCTCCTGAACAGGAGAGTCATCTGCTTTGCTCCGAGTAGAGGAATCCTGTGTGGCTCTTCTTCGTGGCGTTTGCTGTGCAGAGCCACTGGGCAGCTGCAGCCGGAGTGCTAGTGGGCCGGCTCCCTGTGTAGACCGCCCTGCCTGCCCCCACTTGGAGCATCAGCTCCCGTCCGCAGGCGCCATGCTTGCTTAGCTCCACCTCTGCCCGTCCCGCAGCCTCTGTCAGTCCTGGAGAAGATGAGGCTCCAGCACAGGAGGAAAACGGCAAAATGATGGAGGGCAGTTCTCCTCCTAGGCATACGTCCCAGGAGTTGGAAAAGAGAGGCTCAAACACTTGCATGTAAACGTGCAGAGCGGCACCATTCACAGGAGCCAGGGTGCCTTCGGCTGATGGACGGATGAATGAAACCAAGCTCATCCGTGCAGTAGGTTCCTGTTCGGCCACAAAAGGCATGAAGTATACAGGCTGCGTCACGACTGAACCTTGAAAACATTAGGCTGAGTGGAAGATGACCCACACAAAGGGTGTCGTTTCTTCCAGTTATGTGAAATGCTCGGAATGGGCAAATCCAGAGAGACCGGAGATAGATGGAGGCTGTTGCGAGAGCCGGGAGAGGGAGTGTGCAGAGAGGGACTGCTCAGGGAGAATGAGGTTTCCTTTGGGAGCCAGGGGGAGCTTTTGGGACAGGACAACGTGGATGTTTGCACACCATTGTGACCATCCTGAGGCTTTATCCCTCCTACGTGGACGGCCTGCCCATGCCTTGCCAAGAGCTGAGGAGCAACCAGAAAATTGTGCAGTGCTTTTCGTGTTTATTGTTACCTTGGAGAGTAAAGTACCTATTGCACTTGTGAAAATCATTGGCATTTTGCACACAGACTTCGCAGTATGTGAACCTTTTTGCCCGAACTGCTTATGGGTAATGGTTCTGTGGGTACCAATAATGGGAAATCAGTGACGATTGGGTATTAGAAGATTGGATTTATCATCTTAATTTACTGTTTCTGTCAGTAAACTAATTAATTTTGACATGTTGCATAAGCAGAAGAGTGTTATTAACCAGTCATATTTTCCCTTTTGTGCATGTTTGTAACACACAGATGATGTTAATTACACTTCCTGAATCTCACAACATATATAAAGGGTAATCTTCAATTCTAAGACACTAATTTGTGAGTTACCATCTGCTTTGGACCAAAGAATAAGAATTTGATTCTTAAAGGTTTTTCTGAACAGCTTGTAATAAGAGCTGTTTATATATTAATTACTTATTGAATTATTATGGATTTTAACGTTTTAATTTTCGAGCAATTTGGGGCTTATTGTGCTGACATCTGCTCATATTTTGATACTTTGTGGTATTTAGCAAGTGTATCATAAGGCTGGTTTTTTCCCCCTGTGATAATTTACAACTCAGTCCCAAAACTAGTAATTAGGTTTCTGCTTCAGGTACTCTAAGGAGTATGGTCCTCTTTTATCTCTACTTCAGAAGGTGTTTCAGAATGAAATGTATTTATATCTTATAAGCAAAATAGTATTCCTTTATGCCTGCATCACGCTGGGGAATAATTTCTATTCAAAGAGTTGTAAGGGGATTTTATTTGAATCTCAGGTTTCTTCAGTGACAGGTTTTTTGTTTTGTTTTGTTTTATGAGAGACAGGGTGAGTGTGAGCAGGGGCGAGGCAGAGAGAGAGAGAGAGAGAGAGAGAGAGAGAGAGAATGCTAAGTAGGGGCCACGCTGAGCGTAGACTGACTCAGGGTGTGATTTTCCAGCCACGAGATCACCACCTGAGCCGAAGCCAAGTGGTGGATGTGCTCAACTGACTGAGACACCCAGGTGCCCCCTGTGGTAGATTTTTAAAACTTGCCATCAGTATTACTTTTATCTTCTATATCCTTATGATTTTTTTTAAGCGTTCTGTAATGAAACTTAAGGGCCTATGAACCTACCTATAAAATCGTTTTAACCTCCTTTCTTTCATGAGCATACCTATAAGCATGACTCAGTGGGACTAATTTACTTGAATTTCCTTAAAACATTTTACGAGGTTCTGCGTTCACTATTAAGAAACACCATTACTCATAGCTTTACTTGTGGAAGTGAATTATATTAACCCTGGCACCTTTTTATTATCACTTAAGGTGATTGAACAAGAATTTAGAGAAAATAGCGGGCAGTTAATTTCCTTAGATTTTGAGCTTATAGACAATAGTAGGTAATTTCAATGTAGGGGGCTGGGTTCATTCACAACCAAAGAAATGTTATGAGGAAGAAGGTAAGTATTGTTCAGTAAGTTCTGGATGATTGCATAGTGTTTATATTGACTGAAAAGTAAAAACAAGATTTTGATACCAAAGTTCCCTTGTGAACACCTGGCTTCTTGAGAAGCCCAAATGGTGGCGTTCACATGAAATTGAAATGTATGGAAACAGTAACGGATATGTTGAGATGCATTGATTCCTTGCCTTTCTTTTGCTTTACTTTAGGAAAGCCAAAGGGGAAAAAAGATTCTTTTTTTTTGTTGTTTTTTAAGTTTTTTAGTGTTTATTCTTAAGAGAGAGTGTGTGAGCAGGGGAAGGACAGAGAGAGAGGGAGATAGAGAATCCAAAGCAGGCTCCAGGCTCTGAGCTGTCAGCACAGAACCCAACGCAGGGCTCAAACCCATGAACTGCGAGATCTTGACCTGAGTCGAAGTCAGACACTTAACCAACTGAGCCCCCTGTGCGCCCTGGCGGGGAAAACAGATTGTAGCGTTCATGTGTGGTGATAAGAACAGGATACTGGAGGGTGTATGTATATCCACAGGGACCTGCATGCAAGACCATTATAAACATTAGCACGAGCAGTGTCTATAAAGTTTCTTTAAGTCATGTTTTCTTCTCTTAGAGGTGTGCACAGTTTAGTTTCTTGATTGCATAAGACACAGTTCCTAATTTCTCACCTGGCAGGTCCTGGCGGACAGTTGGCAGTGTGTCTGATCGGATGCTGAGGAGCTCACTGGTCCTGAGGTCTACACATGAAGTCACCGTAAAGGTAAGCAGTCCACACGGGGCTGGGCCTTGGTCCCTGCAGCCGAAGCCCCCCCGGAGAAGTGGAAGTGCCTCTTGCTGAAACTGGACACCTTCTGTTCTCAAATGACATGTTGTCAAGTTGCGGGGGTTTCTCGTTGCTGACCTCGAAAGGAGTAGGCAGAACACCACGAAATCGTTCTGGGCTATATGGTTAAATCTAAATGATGAATTCGCCTTTAATTGCCTTCTACGAATTTTGGACACCGAACCAGCTATTCCAAACTTTCCTGGGTCTTTCCCGGAGAGCATGACCCCCTCTAAAACAAGCTCCTCTTGTCAACATTGGGAATTAAGCCAGAAAATTGATAATCAAGCACATGGGTATACAATTTTGTCTCCTGTATCTTAATTTTGTGCTTTGTTGGTTTATATTTTTTAAGATTGTTTATTTTTATTTTTATTTACTAAAAAATTTTTAATGTTTATTTAGTTTTGAGAGAGAGAGAAACAGAGTATAAACAGTGGAGGGGCAGAGAGAGAGGGAGACACAGAATCCAAAGCAGGCTCCAGTCTCTGAGCTGTCAGCACAGAGCCCGATGAGGGGCTCGAACACATAAACCATGAGATTATGACCTGAGCCGAAGTCAGACGCTCAACCAACTGAGCCACCCAGGCGCCCCTAATGTAAGATTCTTACTGCGGTATTTTTGTTTAAAACCAAGTATGTGAAATTTTTTAACCAAATAAACATGTAAGAATCTTTAAAAAAAAATGTTTTAATATATTTATTTATTATTATTGTTTTAAGCATTTATTTTTGAGAGAGGGAGAGAGAGAGAGAGAAAGAGAGAGAGACAGGGCACGAGTGGGAGAGGGGTAGAGAGAGGGAGACACAGAATCTGAAGCAGGCTCCAGGCTCTGAGCTGTCGGCACAGAACCTGACCCGGGGCTCGAACACATAAACCATGAGATCATGACCTGAGCCGAAGTCGGACACTCAACTGACTGAGCCACCAGGCGCCCCTTAATATTTTCTAAATGTTTATTTTTTTTGAGAGAGAGGGAGCACATGTGCGGATGAGTGGGGGAGGGACAGAGGATCCATGAGATCATGACGTGAGCCAGAGTAGGACAGTTGACTGACTGAGCCACCCAGGAGCCCCTAAATGTGTAAGAATCTTGATATTTTACTCAAATATTTGAAAAATAAGAACAAGAATTTGTAGGGGCACCCAGATGGCTCATCTGGTTAAGCGTCCAACTCTTGGTTACCAACTCTTGGTTTCAGCTCAGATCATGATCTCGAGGTTCATGAGTTCGAGCACCATATGAGGCTCTGCACTGACAGTGTGGAGCCTGCTTGGGATTCTCTCTCCCTCTCTGCCCCTCTCCCACTTGTAGACGTACATGCGCTTTCTCAAAATAAACTTTTAAAAAATTTCCTAAGAGGTTAATTAAGTTGAGTTTGTGATTGGCTGTAATCTAACATATTTTCAGGGTTCATCCATCTTGTAGCACAGATCTTTATGGCTGAAGAATATTCCAGGGTAGGGTTATACCCAGGTGTTTGCTCATCAGTTGGTGACATTTGAGTTGCATTCACCTTTCAGTTATGAATCATGTTGCCCTGAACATTTGTGTACAAAGTTTTGTGCAGACATCTGTCTCCACTTCTCCTCGGTGTATGTCAAAGAAGAGAATTGTTAGGCTGTATGGTAACTGTTTAGAATTTTGGTGAACCGCTGGGCTTTTCCATGAGTATTTTTTGAAATGTAAGTGAGTCATCTTCTAAATGTCAGCGGGAAGCTGGGAAAAATCTGTTGGTCATCAGTGTTTTCATTGGGACTTAACTCAGTACTTAGGGAACACAAGCTCCCGTTGAATTGAGCGTACATTGAATTCGCACTGTGTGTGACCCACTGGGGTTGAGCTTTATAGATGACTTTGGGTTCTTGTTTTGGGTGGACTTTGATAATCCACTGTGAAGTTTTTAAGATGGGAATGGTGATTTGGGATTATGGGAGGAAAGACAGTACGTTGAGTACCCTCCACACAGTACCTATGGTGTGGGAGTAAGACTGGGAACCATCTGTAAATCATCTCGCATTTCTCTCCGTGTTGGGTGCTATGCATCAGAAAGTGAGATCTTATAATAGATTTACCTAATTTCTACACATGGCCTCCTTTGAAAGCCATTCATGTCTCCTTGTGGCAATGCTGTTTCATGCTCTCACTTTTAATATTTTAATTTTTTTAACTTTTTAATTAATTTATTTATTTATTAAATATTTTTTATTTATTTCTAGGAGAGAGAGAGAGAGACAGCGTGAGCAGGGGAGGGTCAGAGAGAGAGGGAGACACAGACTCTGAAATAGGCTCCAGGCTCTGAGCTGTCCGCACAGAGCCTGATGCGGGGCTCGAACCCACGAACCGCGAGATCATGACCTAAGCGAAAGTCGGACGCTTAACCGACTAAGCCACCCAGGTGCCCCCCTTTTTAATTTATTTTTGAGAGAGAGAGCAAGAGAACACACATGAGCAGGGGAGGGTCAGAGAGAGGGAGACACAGAATCTGAAGCAGGCTCCAGGCTCTGAGCTGTCCGCACAGAGCCCGATGCGGGGCTCGAACCCACGAACCGTGAGATCATGACCTGAGCTGAAGTCGGAAGCTTAACCAACTGAGCCACCCGGGCGCCCCAGCTTCTCCCACTTTTAAAGCAGTTGTTTCGTTCATGAGAGGCACCCACGTTTGGGGGCATCGCCTGAGGTAGCAGACAGGCAGCTTTCAGGCTGGGAACAGAGGCAGCATTTTCTGTCAGGGATGAGAGTAAGCGGTTGAGGCTTTAAGGGCCAGCCAGTCTGTGCTACAGCCAGTCAGCCGTGCTCTTGTGTAAAAGCAGCTATCGATCATACGTAAATGAACGAACGTGACTGAGTGCCAATAAAACTTGATTTATGGGCACTGGAATTTGAATGTCCTCTCAATTTCATGGGTCATAAAATACGATTCTTCGGATTTTCTTTTCAACCATTTAAAAATGTAAAACCTCTTTGTAGCTCATCAGCCTGAAGCGGGGAAGGAGCAGGGCGGGGGGCGGGGGGGTGGCCTGCAGGTTACATCGGCTGACTCATACCTAGAGGAACAGACCTGTTTTCTTTCTACCTTTTCTGACCTCTGGTTTTTGAACAGGAGTGCTCTGGAAGTGCGGCGCTGGAGGGCCCGTGGCCGGATTAAGATGATCCTAACTGTGGTTGCTTAGCACAGGCACAGCACATGTGCAGGGAGCTAGGGATTTGGGGTCTTCCAGCATCTTGGCCACTTCTGGAGACATTTTTCAGGGGGCAGGTGATACTGGATCTGTGGGCAGAGGCCAGGGATTCTTCTGGACCTCCACAATACTGGGGAGACCCCCCTCCACAAGGATTCCGGTGGTCCCAGATGTCAATAGTACTGAGATTTGTAAAGCCCACTCACTATTCCTGTCAGGGCTTTATTTTGTATTTTAAATCTTACCAGCCTTCTTTTTAAATGTTATTTTTGAGAGAGAGAGAGAGAGCGAGAGAGCGCACGCACACACAAGCAGGGGAGGGGCAGAGAGAGAGGGAGACACAGAATCCGAAGCAGGCTCCAGGCTCTGAGCTGTCAGCACGGAGCCCGACGCGGGGCTCCAACCCATGAACCATGAGATTGTGACCTGAGCTAAAGTTGGGCGCTCAACCGACTGAGCCACCCGGGCGGACCTAAATCTTACCAACCTTGTGGCTGTGAAAATGTTAAGTTGCAGAGCATTTGACGATACAGTTTGGTTCCTACGTTTGCTGACATAAATAGGAGGATTGATGGAGTCTCATCTAATACTTAGGGTCATAATATATTAAGCGTTATTTTATTGTTATTTAAATTGAAACATCAAAAGATCCTATTATATGAAGACTTAGGAGTTCCACATCATGTGAGTGGGTGAGGTGTTACCTGCTTTCATGTTTATAGAGAAAGCCACAGGGTTTATTATTCAAAACTCCAGAGGCCAGTTATAGGAGCCCATGACTCCCTAACACAGGAAGGGGAACTATAAAGGCCAAAATAAATCCTGTGTAAGTGGGTGAAAATCACAGTATGGTAGAGATTGCATAGGCAGCCTGTATGTCTTCCTAAAACTTGTCTGAGGGCCTAGTGTACATCTTAGAGAAGCCGTTTCCAACTTTTCAGTCTTAAAGATAATTAAATTTGTAAATTGATTTACAGATTAATTGGAAGTGTTGGCTTAAAGCAAAGTCATTAGGTAAACAGTACTGTTAGGTCTCCAAGGCAGCCTGCTTTGAAATCCTGGGTGCAGACACTTGCATTTTAGTGCAGAGAGAGGGGATAGGAAAGGAAAATTGTAGTGTTTGTCCCACATACACTGTGTGGCTCTTGGGACGCAGTGTCCCGCAAGAAGCAGCAGCAGTTTGCTGTTACTACGTCGAGCACGTTTACGAAAGCTTGTTTCCAGGTCTTCCTCCTGGACAGGCAGAGAGAGATGCGTGAGCAAACAGTGACGAGTGCACAGTGTGAGACAGGACCCTGTGGCCACTTGGGAGGCACCCAGATGGTTTTGGAGGTAACCTCAAGGACCAAGGACCGGATGCCTTTACTGTCCCGTCCGCATCTGCCTCTGACGTGCACATGAAGGCCCCTCAAGCCATTCATTCACCCGTAAGGGTGGCCAAGCACAGACGAGACCGTTTCTGAATGCCTTGCCCCTGAGATATTTTGTATTCCGCGAAGAGCAATGTTATGTTTCTAATACAAGAGCCCCTCTTCTCTGCCCGCCCCCCCGTCCTGGAACCTCATTTCCTACTTAGAAGTGGAGTCTTTCTCATGCAGATTATTTTTGGAGACTCTGCCAGGGTTTAATTATGTTTTAATGAACGTGAAAGCAGTCCATGTGCAGAGGAGAAAATTTGGAAAATACAACAAGCACACATAGAGATATAAATCTAGCAGAATTCCACCCCCAGGACTAGATGTGAGACTTTTGT